AAGGGGTCCCAGACTGCCAGAGGGCACAGGCCGGGCTGAGGGACACCCCCCGCTCCAAGTGCACAAATTTTTGTGCACCGGGCCTCTAGTCTATAATAATAAAAGCGTAATATGCTAATTAGACTGGACATCCTTCCGGATGAAGCCGGGACTGCGAGGGAAGCCTGGGTCCCAGGTGCCAGAGGGAAGCCTGTGCTGGCAACTGGGAGAAGGAACGCCTACTCTTGCATGAATTTTTGTGCATCGGGCCTCTAGTTGGAGAATAAAGGAGGGGAAGTATGTCCAAAAAGGAATATTCCCGAGTTTTAAATATACTATTAGAGGTACCTATGGGTGGGACATACGGTGGAAATTTCCAGTGGGCAACTGGATTATCAAGTATTAAAGAAAGATTTTATATATTATCAATCATGTCATATGTGATATCATGACAGTAAAAGGTTGAAAGGGGACTGGGCTAAATCTACCTTCTAAAGAAGAAAAGGAACCTACAAAGGAAATGAGAGAAAAAAGGGAAAAAGGGATTTCAGAGAGAAGTGACACAAAAACCAAGGAATAAAAGCTTTTAAGACAAAAGTCACACCAAACGTACAGCATTAAAATCAGTAGCTATTTTAGGTTTTCCAGATTTCCATGTTTACTGGAGGGAGTTTTAAGGAGAGGCAAGGAAAAGTTTACCTGATTTACTGAATTTAAGATAGAAATGTATACACTGAGGATGAAGAGGAAGTGGATAAAGCACACTGAAGCAGACAACAGCGGCAGATGCAGGCGGGTCCTCAGCAGCAGCAGACAGTCACAAGGAGAGCGGGGTCCTCCACAGCATCGTGCCGCTTTCCCTGGAGCTGGGACAAAGCGAATGAGAATGACACCTGCTACAGGGAAGTTGGGTGGCAGGAAGCAGGTAGCAGGTGATCTTGTTTGATGAGCATGAGGCTACTGAAGAAGGTGAGAAGAGTGGCTGAGAACTGGGCTTAAGGAGAGTTTGTCTGGAACAGTTTATCAGGGGAATGGGAGAGGGAGATGTCCTGAGATAAAGGACAGATTAGAGACATGGCAGGTCCAGTGGAGATTTTAGACCTTAAACTTGTAATGACACAAGTCACCATCCTATCTAATAATAGCCCAAATGGTAATTGACCGTACCTTTGCTACGCCTCCCATTGGCTAATCAGCACAATATGCAAATTAACTGCCAACAAAGATGGCAGTTAATTTGCATATACCGGCTGGGAGCGAAGCAAGCCAGGCGGCGGAGGCGGGAGCAAATCAAGCTGGGCAGCTGAGGGAGGGGGGAACGAAACAACCCGGCTGGGGGGCCGAGGGAGGGGGGAACGAAACAACCCGGCCGGGCGGCTGAGGGAGGCGGGAACGAAACAACCCGGCTGGGGGGCTGAGGGAGGCGGGAACGAAACAACCCGGCCGGGGGGCTGAGGGAGGCGGGAACGAAACAAGCCGGACATCCCCCGAGGAGTCCCAGACTGTGAGAGGGCACAGGCCGGGCTGAGGGACCCCCCTCCCAAGTGCACAAATTGTTGTGCACCGGGCCTCTAGTATTTACATAATACTTGAAACTGCTAAACCATTTTAGATGAGAGGGAAACACAGCTAGGGATCCGCTGATGAAGAGCAGGAGAGTCTGGGAAAGGGACTATCTGCTACTGCATCTTACATTGAAGAGGAGGAAGAAAGACTAGGAATGGTCTGCCTGGAAGGAACGATGCAGGGACAAGAAAACAGGTCCAGAAACATGGAGGCATGGAGCAGATGAGGCATCTCAGAGGGAAGGAGGGAGGAGGTGGGGAGAGATTAACCAAAGAACTTACATGCATGACCCATGGACACAGACAATAGTGCAGTGCAGGCCTAGGTGGGGGGAGGGGAAGGGGGAGCAGGGTAGAGGGGGTCAGTGGTGGAAAATAAGGGGATATCTGTAGTACTTTCAAAATAAAGATACATTTTTAAAAAAGGAAGATAAAGTGACTGTCCCCAAGAGGTCACCTAAGAGCAAAAAAGCCAGTAGCAAACAGTATAACAGGTATATGACAATGATGTTAAAAATTTGCACAGAATATTATGGCTGTTTCTTGAAAAGAAAGGCTGACTGACATATTTGAATTCTGTGAAGTATAAAGCAAGGAGACGGCAAAGACATGGTCTCTCACCTTGGGAATGATGGCCAAGTTCAATGCACATAAGGGGAGGAGGGAGAGGACAGAAACCACAAACAATGACACTATTATTGAACATTTAAAAAGTTAGGGACTAGCCCTGGCCGGTTTGGCTCAGTGGCTAGAGCGTCGGCCTGCAGACTTGCGGGTCCCAGGTTCGATTCCGGTCAAGGGCACATGCCTGGGTTTCGGGCCCTCCCTTCCTCTCTGAAATCAATAAAAATATATTATATATAAAAGAAGTTAGGGACTAACCAGCCCGCCACAGGTTTTTTTCTTAAAGTTATATAATATAGACTTAAAACAATGG